GCAAAAATTTGTTTTCTTTATAGCACCTGAAGGAGCCCATACGAGCTAAAATAATTGCCGTAATAATCTCTGTGTCCTGTTTCGGTTTGGGAGATTCATTCACAGAGCTTCGAACTGCAGTCCCCAATCCCAATTTTTCTTTCCTGACTTCTCACACAAAAAGATTTCCCCCACGGATTGGGTTTGCCTTTGACGTATTGTTTTACATTAAATTTATATTTGAAGGGAATCATCTGTTCATCCACGCACAATTCCTCTTCAAGTAGCAGATCATGGTATCGCTTTTTTACGGCATCCAACAAAGGTCTCACATTTCAGAACCGTTCTTTATTTGGTGGCATTTTCAAATTAACGAGAAAGTGAAGATTGGATCTCAAAGAAAAAAATGTCTCTGGACATCGTCTCCTCGAAGGTATTTAATCCTATAGTTGTGTTCAAAATCATCCAAACCCGTGAATATTTCATCGTGTGAAATGCAGTGTCATTTTATATCACTTGCCTGGGTAACAAAAATTCTTATCCTTTTTGAATTGCATACACAGTGGTATACATACAGCATTCTCAAAAATTCTTCAGGAAAATATTTCTTGAAAAATGTAAGTGGGCGTAAAAGTTTATCCGTGTGTTCAGACCTAAAACAACTTTAAAATGCAGGCCTCGTAAATGCATATGATGCATCATTCCAATTTATTTTACTAGCGTATCCGTGCGAGGACTCTCGCATGTTATGTACCTCAACAAAAGCATTTCGGAGTCAAAAAATATTTTTACATGTGAGTAATAAATACCATTCGTTACAATTATTTTAAAAAAAATCATTAAATTTCATTTTTAATTAATGTTTTTAGAAAAAGAATTTCCCTTCTTGAACCGTGTTGTCCATAAACATGTATTATCTAAAACTAGCAGAGTTTGAAATTTGAGGGATAAGCGATAAAACCAGATAAATAGATTTTGATTAAGAATAATAAGAACTTTTGACGTTTAGTAGATATGTATGGTGTGGTACCATACAAAGTGCATGAGTAATGTAGGTTACGTCACAAACTTATCACAGAAATAAGAATAAAAACTTACATTCGTTTGTTGCGTAGGAATTCTGCCGATGAAGGCAGAGATACTATTTTTTCTAAGGGTATCGTGAAACAAACTTGAGAACATGTGATTCGTTTCCATCGTAGTTCCCTCTACAATTAGATACACAGCACTTGTAGACCACGGCAAAAGGTTTAATCAATGGTTGCACTACATGCATAAGAAACACTCTCCAACTGTATCAAGCAACTATAAGTATATAATTAATAGTACTTCTAGTTGTTGCTGCAAGAGCAAATTTTGATTTAATGAGTAGCAAATAAACCTCGCCAGTCGATGAAATCCACGGTGTACACAGAAAGTGTAAACATAAAATGGTGGAATTTAGGCCTTCTAAGCGTCACGTGACAAAGACTGTGTCCGTGTATTGGGCTGTATCGATAAGCGCCGGACGAGGAGAAATACAATAGAATGTGTAATATCTTATTCTTTAGACTACGTTATAGGAAACGTTTATTTGAAGCCTTTGGTCTCAATCAATTTGGTTTCAACAAATTCTTCATGTTTTAAAGTCGTATTATTCGTCATGTCTTCGTGAAATTCTCATTCTTTAGACCTCATTTATAAAAATCGGTTGCGTGTGAGAACCGCACAAGGTTTGTACATTACTGAAATAATATAGGAGACGATTGTTTACCACATTTATACTGTCATCTCGTAAAGAATCTGCAATAAAACTTTATTTCACAACCATAAAAATCTGAGATTTCCAAGACAATTATTTACGGATTCTTCGCCGTTTGAAACATCTAGTTTCATTTTTACGCATAATATCAGTACTTACGAGAAACTAGTTTTGAATAGACGTATTTTTTTTATGTGTTGTAAAGGATTAGTATTTACTTTGCCAAAATATTTGACGCGCCAACACTTTTAGACTTCTGAACATCATAAAATATTTCAACGTCGTGTTAATTTCCTGAATCTTCAATATCAGAATGTTCAGCTAATTTTTTTCTCCTAATTCCAGGCAATCGGGATCTTCCAAGTAAAAAAACGTATATCTGAATACGAATAATAAGTTAGATAGCAAATTTGCATTGGTAACAAGCTCCAGCTAATGTCAACCATTGAGATCCAATGTACAACCCAGACGAAAATTGGATTGCATTTTGAAGGCGAAAACTCACGAAATGTCTTAATACATAATGTAAAATATATTTTCAATTCTTAATTTAACTTTTTCAAAAAAAATCGTTATTGTGCTAAACAATTCAGAAATACATAAGAAGTAATTTATCTTGCCGGAGGACGACATTGTTACACGAACACACGTCAGGAAAATAATTATCTGTAAAATACTTCTTGTTGACATTCACAAAAATGAAACTATTTATAGCTTCTCAAGAAACGATAAAAGCACGACAATTCACCGCGAACAATTGTGCCGTAACGAAGTGTCAAAAATAACCAATTAAAATTTGTGCCCAGCACACTGGGCACAGGGTCAGAAAGGGATGGTTACTAATGCGAGTAAGTGCGTTGTGTTGTAGCACCACTAGTTTATTACTCGCGCAACTTTTCTTGAACGATGGATTGAAGAAATGCGGGTAGAGTGGGGGTATTACGAGTAGTTATGTAATCAGCATCTAGATTTTATGAAGCAATGCCAATCACTGGAGAAGCAGTCGTGCCTTCGCAAATTGAGGGATCTTCTGTGCTGGATCTTCACCTGCTTCGGTCATTTCTTTAGATAGTCATATGAGCTCATGAAAGAATAGACTTTAAAAGGGACTTAGAAATCACAAACTGAGACTTCCATTTTTATTTATATACACAAAAACCAAATAAAATTTTCCATTAATTACTACCATATAATATTAACATTTTTTTCAAATTACTATTTCAAATTATTTCAATATACTTCCAAGAAAGAAATACATCACATTGATGACAAGCAAAATAAAATAGTATCAAGCTGTTACTTATTTCATTCAATTATTTCCGAAGTTCATGTCAAAAATGTCAATTTTATACATTTTAGGTTTAAAAGTTATACAATTACTAAACAAAAAGAATAAATTTATTTCTACTTTGATTATATAAAAATATAAGTATACACAGAAAGTATTTATCCAATTTATTCAATTCTCTGTGAATGAGCATGATCATTACTGAATGCAAATTTTCATCTTATAAGATTCGGTAAATTGTAGTATTAGAATGTTTACTATGTTACTTACTTTTGGTTTGGATTTATAGCTTTTATTCAATTAACAGTGAGATTTATAAACACCAACAATTGCAAAACATCAAATGATAAGGAGTTTCTCAACAGTGGTGCTGAAGCGGCACATACTTTCTCGCATTATTTCTAAATTTCCAATTTTCAAAAATGCAGAGTTCAATGAAAATTAGACCCACAACATTTTTGAAGCATCCCTTCGTGGAAATCCATGAAAAAATAAAGAAAAAATTGGAGCTGTTTTTGAGATAAAAATTGTTAACTATTTTAATTGCCAGTACTTTTTAATTAGCCGTAAGAGTTTGTTTCATCACTTCATTATTATGAACATGTGCTTGCATATCGTAATAATAATAACAATAATAGTAAATAATAACAAAATAATATCAATATTAATAACAAAATAATGTCAATAATAGTGCTAATCATATTAGACTATCTAGAAAAGTTTCTACATTGCATCCCATGTTTACTTTAAACTTGAGCATTCGTCCTTGATGATCATCGTCCGAATCACAGTCTTCCAAATTATTGTACAATGGAACATACGTTTCGTCAAAATCAGACAGATCACCATCAATGTCAGATGAGTCACCATCTGGCAAGTACAAAAGTTCTGTAATTTCCTCTTCTAGAAGAATAATTTTACGGAAAGATATTACGCACAATACTTTTGTACGTTCTGTATCTGGCCGATGTATCTTAGGAGATACATAAAAGTTTAACGTGTGTAATGTACTGATTCGCCAAATTTTTTGTCAATAATTTAAATACCGTGCATGTTTTTATGTTGTTCCACTCAAACCCAGTTGTTGGTTACGGTGCGTCGATGGAGCCACTTTCGTCACTTGGAGCCACGGGAAAGAAACACCGGAAGACTTTCTTCGACATTTCAATTCCATTCACCCACGCATACAATTTATCATTGAGAAGGAACATAATGTAATATTGTCTTTCTGGACGTGCTAGTCAACAAGAAGGAAGACGGATCCCTCGGCCACACAGTATTCCGAAAACCCACGCGGACCGTTATCTTAATAAACTGTCGAACCATCACCCCAGTCAGAAAAGAGCAATGATGAAGACACTCGTCCACCGCGCCAGACGGATGTGCTAAGACGACAACATTCACCAAGAACTCGGTCATCTGGAAAATGCCCTTCAAGCTAATGGATATTCAATCCAAGAGATGAAGGGGGCACTAGGTCCAAATAACACGCAGTCCTCCCGAAGAAAACACTCACAAGGTCACACTGCTGTATATCAAGGACATAATGGACCGTATTGGCAAGATTCTGAAACACCACAACATCAACTCCAGCCGCGAAAACCTACGATGCTAAGTAGTAAGGTAAGTTCAATTAAATAAATAAATACAAATGATATTTCAATTATAATTGAAAGAAAGAAAATAGAATTAAGTCATGGATGAAAAAACAAACAATGCATTTTCCTTAAAATGAATTCTTATTCATATTTTATGAGCATATACCAAATTAAACATTAGTCCATAACAAATTTTACACAATGCTAGTACTTATTTATTTATGTATTTATTCATCCATTCACACAAAATATAATATATGCTTACTCTTCTCTCTGAAATCTATCAACCCTATCAACGGTGTGTACAATAACTGCACATTTGTATGCTTATTCTTACATCTGATGTATTTCTTGATTTCACTGAGTGCATCCAGGGATCACTCCATGATCTTACAAAAATTTGCTTTTAAAAACTCTGTTGTCATGCACTAACTGTAATAAAATAAAAGATCAACTTTCAGCACATGTTTTTAATAATCTTGCACTATCATGAACATCCATTCTCAGCCAATAAAAATATCTGCAATTCATAAGAAAGATTATAGGTCCAGAGGGCAACTCCTTTGAAGTTGAAATCAAAGCACATCCCGAAGGGCACATATTATTAAAATATTATTATAAAATAATAATAATAATAATAAAAATAAAAAATAAATCAAGTTCAATTCAGGAATTTTAAATAGTCCTACAAACGTAAGTTCACAATTGTAAATGAGATTTCCCATGTGCTTTAAGAAGAGTTCTTGTCACATAGCTTTTGCCACATACTGTACATGGAAAAGGTCTTTCACCTGTATGAGACCTTATGTGAATGACAAGTGTTGAACGCTGAGTGAATGATTTACCACATTCTTTACACAAAAATGGTTTATCTCCTGTGTGGACACGCGAATGTGTGCGCAAGTAGCTTCGAGAACTGAAACCTTTTCCACACACATTACAGAGAGCAGGCTTTTCTCCTGTATGAGTTCTTTTATGTATTTTCAAACCTTCAATTGTAGTTAAAATTTTTCCACAAGTATCACACACAAGTTGATTCATCCCAGTGTGAGCCTTCATGTGTCTTTTCAAAACTTGTTGATTCGCACACACTTTATGACAAATTTCACATTCTGGCTTGGTGAAATCAGGGTCATGCCGTGTCTTTGTGTGATAATATAAGGAAGCTTTTGAAGAATAGGAAGTATCACACTGGTTACATTTAAATGGTTTAGCATCTCCTGAACTGTGCTTCAGCATATGTTCTGCAAGAGTAGACTGCTGGTAAAACCCTTTATCACACTGACTACACACATATTTATATTTCTTAAAATGTCTCTGACGATGAAGAGTTAAACCTGTTTTTTCTTTGCAGGCATATCCACATACGTCACAAACAAACTTCTTCTCTTCTGTGTGACGCTTTCTGTGAGCTGTGAGTTCAAAGTTCGTTTTAAAAGATGAACGACACATATCACATTTGAAAGGTCGATCACTGCTGTGGCTCAGTATGTGTCTTCTTAACCGGGTATGTGATAAACATTGTTCACCACAAACATGGCAAAGAAATGGTTTCTCTCCTGTATGAATTCTTCGATGAATGGCAGCTAGAGAAGGAATTGGAAACTGCTTGCCACAGAACTCACAGGATGTAATAAGCTTCCTTTTAGCGGTAGTATTCCATGTCTGTGCAACAGTAACGTATGATGATCTGAAATGAAGAGATTTACAATAAATTCTACTTCTGATTATCAGTAATCAAACTTCTTCAAATTCATCAAAACAAAATAAAAATTAAATTTTATTAATGACATTCTTAGAGGTTTCGTACTCTTTAACAATGTCTTTTCTTCACCAATGTATTACTATTGCAAAAATCTGAAAGTGTGTTTATGTGCTTGTTCATTGATAAGTTGTATTGTGGTTTATATGTCTTTGAGAACACATAGACACAATGTATATTACTGCAAAAATTACAATAAGCCAAACACATTCTTCTGGTGCTCACATGTCATTTCCAGAGCTCTCATTCTAAAGAAAATATGTGTGTGTGTGTGTGTGTTAACATTTCTCAAAATTTGAGGTGTGAATGAAATATTCTCAAATGACAATTATTTGGAAAAGAACAAATTATTTGATAAAAATTGATAAAAGTTTAATGTCTTATGAGAATATATACAGTGATATATTCGCTGATGGATGATTAATGTAGTACCCTATCCTAGTTTAGAAATTTATGAAACAAGCACTTCTTTAATAATGATTTAGAACTACAATCAATGTCAAACTAAATATAAATAGTATATTTTAGTTTTAGTAAAATTAAAAAAAAAAATGTATATGTTATTCTTGTCAAGACATTTGAAATTACCACAATTTGCAATGAATAAATCTTTTAAATATATAAAGCCCACAACAATTTCCCAACAAATTTGATAAAATCACATATCACAGAAAGCAAATTCTTTAAATTAAAATAATTCAAAATATAAATCATTATTTAGTACAAGAGGCAAATTCTCTTTTTGAAACTAGCACCCAGACCCTTCTATTATCCTGCAGGTCATGCACTATATATTTAGCAAAATTAAATAGTTAACTGTAAGACGACACCAACACCACCTGACCCAAAATGAATACCAATTAATGCCAAAATGAGCAAAATTTAAGATCTACGCTACTATTCTCTCAAGAATGCACCAAATACCATATGCAAAATGAGAAATTTAAAAGTAAGAAAATGACAAAAATATTCATCAATGACACAATCAAAATAAAATTTCAAATATGCATTCTGAGACTTCATAATGATACCAATTAATTCTCATTATTTTACAGGCAGATGTCTCATAAGCAGGTGACATGACATCTCTCAAGTATCACACACAATTTTAAAAGAGATGATATTATACATTTACTTTTTTAAGAATTTCAATCATTTAGAATCTAAATATTAAGTTAATATGGATGAGTACCATTGACTAATGATCTTTGGTTACTTTTGGTCTGCCTACATTTGAATGTTCAACAATATCTAGTTTATAAGTCGGGCAAAGCCTTCGCAAAGGGATTTTTGGTAGATCATATTGTCACACTTAGGTTGTAGTTACTGTCAACCTAGGGAGATTCCACTGAGTTCAGACAGTTGCCTTTTTAAAACAGCTACTTCCATATAACCATGCAACCTCAAATGTCATTTCATAGTTGATTGTTGTAGGTTGTGATTGCCCCAATGTTATTATGGCATAACTGAGGTTTGATGATCCTCAAAACATTGGATACCTGTCATCAATAAACAACCACTCATCTGGGATAATATAGACTTGTTTCAATATCATTTGTAGTAATATTTCAGGTCTTTTACACATTTTTCTTCTACATGTACATCATGTAGACCTGTAGTTCTTAACTCTCCTCGTTTCACTTGTTTGATGTTTTGATTTTAATAATGAGTAAGCTATTGCCAATATTTTACCATTTGTCTTTATTTCAAAGCTTTTCTTTACATAAATGTTCTCTTTTAATTAAGTGATCATTTGGCTATGCAGCCTACAGCCTGGCACATTTTAAAGACTGATCTTTATTAAGCGATCACCTCAAACATTTTTTAACAGTATTGGTATATGAAGCAGAAAACTGGTGATAATTACTGTCAATTCAATGTTTCTGCGTGAGGACCCATAGTACAATTACTTTGAACAGTAATACCTTGTTCTGTTTATTCGGAAAGGGTTTTTGAAGGGGGTTTCTTTTTAAGATAGCAAATTATTTTCATAAAAGTTTCTTAATGAAATAAGTGTTCGCCTCACCAATCCGCAGCATTACGTCGATCGCTAAGTCCTGCTTCCCTTCCGTGGACATTTGTCATTAAGTCGCCTCCAGTGCGAATCAGATCTAGGTGCATTTGTTAACTCTGTACCCTTCAGCTCTGCTGTAAAGTTTCTATAGAATGTGAATTGTATCTTCAAATCTAGTTTTCTTGTTAGAATCTATGTGGATGGATAAGGAGTTTCTCGAGTAAAGATTGAGTAATAAGTCAAGGATGTGTTTTGATCAGGGGTGTACTTTGATAGCCTAGCAGCTAGCGGCCAAACAGCTTCCCTCCCCAATCCCATTTTTTTTGTTATCTGCTGTAATCGCGCCAATACTGGTGTTGGCCTACCATTTTCAATTGCCTGATCCTTCTCGTGGAACTATCTCGTTGAAAATGTTCTCAAAATATTGAAATTGAAATTGAAAGACATACTACAAAGAAGTATTCCCAAAACTCGTTAGTCAAAGCATTTTACTACACTGCAAAGTAAATACAAATCCTCATGAAATAGAGTAAAAAGGACAGCACGACACCAATACTACAATGGATCGCCACTGCGTACCGCACTGCCCTGACACGCAATTGATTCTCTAAGAAGAATACCCTGTGCTATTCACAATTTCGAGGTTTCTAGGGATCTGATCACATGCGACTCAGAACTTCTTTTCTCAAAGAAATTAATAAAATATCTACTAAACATTCTGGTTCACTCTCATTACATTGAGAGAGAAATATGTGCCCCGTAATCATTTATCAATTACGTTAATTATAAGGTATGTTAATTTAAACTAACAAAACATTCCATTTAAAATAATTTTGCATTGTGGTAACACTGTCTTATGAGTAATGGCGTTGAAAAGGCGCGACCTGGCCTTGAAGCAGTGGCAGAGGGAGAAACATCGTCTATCTCCAGCCAGCTAGGGTTCAGTGCATTATCGACTGCGGCTTCTTCGCAATCGTCACCTGCCTCTGGCCCACTGAAGTAAAACAAAAACGGTAACTGGTAAAAGAAAAACAATTAAGAACTATATTAAGAGAACAGGTTGAAAGATCAGGTGAAGTCATGTGATAATATTTTTAAACAATTACTTCTCACTTGGAAAAGAAAAAGTAATAGCATAAGTTATTTGAGCAATTTAATAAATTTATAAAATATTAAATAATTACAAATTTCAAATAAAAAAACTGAGCACTAAATATGTAACTATTTACTTTTAGTTTCATTTTCTATTGATATTTATGAACAATGTCTGACATCAAAATCCCAACAAAGATTTTTTATTTGTATCTTATCTTCAAATTTAAACAAATAATTGAAATATTAAGTGTTTTTATTTTTGTCAATAATACATTAATTTAATTGATACAAGTTAACTGTAAGGAAAATATGGATCCAACTCATTTATTACATTAAAATGACATCATTTTAATTTTGTATTTTGCTATATAACACAATATCTACACGAAATCAAGGCCACTGAAGCACACATCTTCACTTATCAATAACACTTTCATTCATGATTATTTGCATGTGTTTTAAGCAATGTTTTTGTAACAAATCGCTTTCCACATGCAGTGCAACCATACGGTTTTTCACCCGTATGAGATCGTTTATGAATGACAAGAGTTGACCGTTGAGTAAAACATTTCAAACAAATATCACATTTGTATGGTTTCTCTCCAGTGTGCACACGTTCATGAGTCCTTAGATAGTTTTCTGAAACAAATGACTTTCCACAGGTTTTGCACACTGCAGGTCTCTCTCCCGTGTGAGTTCTCTTATGAAACATTAACCCTTGAGCGGTTGTTAATATCTTCCCACAGACATCACACATATGTTTGCTCTCACCTGTGTGCAGTTTCAAATGTCGCTCCAGAATAGCTTGTGAAGCATACAATTTATGACAAATAGAGCATTCTACTCGTACTTTCTGATATTCTGGATTGTGACGAGTCACTTTGTGATACTGAAGATAAGATTTAGAACTATAACCCATATTACATTTCTCACATTTGAAAGGCTTATTACCAACTGTGTGTTTCAATAAATGTTCTTTCAATGCATGCCGAGATAAGAATCCTTTACCACATTCTTCACAATACAAAGAAAAATCTTTCAGGTGAATTAGCCTTTTGTGCAAGTTTACATTAGATTTCCCTTTAAATCTTTTCCCACATATGTCACATTCATGTTCTTTCTTGGCAAAGTGACGTTTTACATGAAGTGTCAACTGGGCTTGGTTTTTAAACATCAAATCACATAGTTTACATTTGTGGTTTCGAGTAGTAATGTGCGAGACCATATGTGTCTGCAAATTTGAAATGGAAAAACTTTGTTGACCACAAATATGACATAAGAAGGGTCTTTCTCCTGTATGTTTCAATTGATGCAATTTTGCCTTTCTCGGCTGATCAAATATCTTCCCGCAAATTTCACATGTTCTTTTGAGCAGCCTTGCTTCCATTGGGCTTCTACCAATGCCATTTGTGTTTGATCTGAAAAGAAGATACCCAAAATCAATATCTCGTTATTAAGTTGATCTATTCAGTCAAAAAGAAGAAAACAAACATTATGGTACAGAAGAAAATGTTGATTGTAGAACAAGAAATAAACGTCCCCTTTTTTATGCTTTTCCACTCTCCTACATCTTTATAAAGAAGAGAAGAAACAAAAGTTCGCTCTCAAATTGATGCGTCAAAATAGTTTTGCCCGCGAGATTTTCATGTTGTATACAGCCCTTGAAGTTCTTTACTGGGATGTCATTTATAAACCCCTTTACTGGGATGTCATTTTTTTGATATTATTATATCATATATTGGGCAACAAAAAGAAGTCTGCTGGGTCTGGGGCCATGTCGGGTCTGTAAAGCGGTTGGGGCACCGTTTTCACTGCGATC